ATAGGACGATTGCTTTTTCTGGTATTTTTCCTATTTTTTAATCATATAATGTCCTAATTTGCATTAATTTTTTTCTTGTTTTTATTTTGCATCCACTGTTAATGTTAATAATTATGTGTATATCTATTACATTTCAACTGTAGTAAATGTGATGAAAACATGCGCGTCATCTGATTGCCTTTTCGAAGATCTCTTTGGGTTTTCCATTGAGTTTCTTTTGGATTGGTTTTTATAGGACGATTACTTTTTCTGATATTTTTTAAAATTTTCATTAATTTTTTAAGTTTATGGTATTCTACTTTGTATTATTTATGTGAGCTTTTTAAATTTTTTTGGCATCTGTTATAAAAAGAAAATTGTTTGTCTTTTGTCCATTGTTAATGAAGTGTCATCTGATTACAATTTCAAAGATCTCTTTGGGTTCTCTATTGAGTTTCTTGTGAATTGATTTTAATAGGACAATTGCTTTTTTCTGATTTTTCTTTATCTGTTTTATAATCATATAGTAGAAGTGCGCAACCTGGGGTCTGCAGGCAGCATGCACCATGCAAAAGCTGCTGAAAACAATTAAAAAATAAAATAAGTAAAAAAAAAATTGTAAAACAAAAATTTGATAACTCTTTTTGATGGGCTCAATTTAGATAGATTCTATCGTAAATCTTTGTTTTTTGATCTCTTTTTCCGCCGAAATTGCTTCGGAATTTTGCATTGTTGGTTTTTTAAAAAATACCAACACGATATTGAAATGCGTGAATTTCGAATTAAAGTACGATAACTTCTTATGCATTATTTATTTATTTTTTTTTTCAATTTCATCTTAAATCCAAGTGAGGTTTTTTTTCTTTTTTTCTGTCTTTTTTTTTTTTTAGCCAGTTTGTTTGGTTTTATATAATTGGTTATAATTCCAGTACATTTAATACCGTATTACAACTTGTGAGTTGTAAATCCTGCGTTCAATATTTTGAGCGCACTTTATTTTATTTATTTACGGCAATTTCATTGTAATATGAAATGATTATGTAATACGAAATTATTTTTAAAATGCCAAGTTTTAACTTAGATATCTTTTTTGCCTTTGTTCCTACCAATTTCATCGTACATCCGAGTTGTTTTTCAACTATTTTTTGGCAGTTATTGCTTTTCATTTCTACATGGTTTTAAAAATTCTGAATTTTATTACGGCATACGAATTTTAAATTATTGCTCTGTTTTTCCATGTGATTTTTACAATCCCATTATTTTTCCCCCTCTCCAACAGCAATGTTATTACAACAAGAGAGTTTTTAATCATGATTTTAATTAATCACTTTTTGATACAATTTTATAGTCAATCTTCCATTTCTTCCATTTTTTGCGACAGTTAGAGCCATGTTTTACGATATTTTAATACAATGTAATACCGAATCCCAATATTTTAATACAGTGTAATTGCAGCTTGAAGAATTCTTGAAGTGTTGGAAAGCGAAAATTTTTAACCTGCTCACTGTCTAATTTTTTAGTTAACTTAAGTGATTTTTTTTTCAAGAAAAAAATTTCGAAATTCATGAAACCTCAAATTATTCAAAAAAATAGTATTAATATCTGAAGCATAATATCAAATAAATATTGAATCTTATTTTGTACTATAATTGTTTTATTTTAATCTTTCGCTTTTGTTTAAACCCTATAAATTTTTTTGAATTAAAATATATTTTATTTGAATTTATATTACTCATCAGAATATATATTTATTGATTTATTTTTTGTTCTAAATGATACGACTTAAAAAAAACTTATTTATTTTATCCAATTTATGTATATTTTTTTAATGTATCAATTTTTGTAAAAAAGTGAATTTTTTTTTTTTTAAAGTATAAAGTTTTTCATCAGTTTTATCATTTTTGAATGAATCTGAATAATTCAAAGCATTTTTGAAAATGAAAAGTGTTTAATTTTCTCAAAATATTACTGATAAATTCCATGTTTACTGATAAAAAAATAAGGTGTTTATGTTTATATAAAAATCTCCTGGTTGCAATTTCAAAGATCTCTTAGTTTTCCAATGAGTTTCTTGTGAATTGATTTTAATGGGATGGTTGCATTTTCTTATTTTTGTTTCTTTTTTATAATCATATCTACTTTGCCTTGTTTTTTATATTACATCTCTTTTTAAAAATTTTGTATCAGTACTAAGTAATAAATGTGATGAAAGCATGCGCGTCATCTGATTCCCTTTTCAAAGATCTCTTTGGGTTTTCCATTGAGTTTCTTTTGGATTGGTTTTAATAGGACGATTGCTTTTTCTGATATATTTTTTTTTAAACTTTTTATTTTTTAAATTTTTAGTATTCTACTTTGTATTATTTTTCTCCTTGTTTTTGGTTTGTTTTTATTTTGCATCAATTTTTAAAAATTGTGTGTATATTTATGACAGTACTGAATCAGGGTGGCCACCCACCTGGAATTATCAGGGAATTTTTTTTATACTGGAAAAAACCTGGAAAAATCAGGGTAATTTGGATAAAAATCGGGGAATTTTAAAGAAAAGCTGGAAATTTTTTTAATTTCACTAATTTAAATTATTCACTAATTTTCTTAATTTAAATTACCCACTTTTTTTAGAAAATGTATCTCCAAGCAGTTGAAATATCATCAACTTAGCAATACTTTGCTTGCATCAAAATTTNTTTAAATTATTCACTAATTTTCTTAATTTAAATTATTTCATCCATTATACCCACTTTTTTTAGAAAATGTATCTCCAAGCAGTTGAAATATCATCAGCTTAGCAATACTTTGCTTGCATCAAAATTTGCTCCATTACAGCTCTGTTAAACTAGAATGCAGCGGAAAATTCTCCCACTGTTGCTAAACGAATGTGAAAACCTTTGACCGCTATGGATTGCAATTTAGGAAAGATTGTGGGGGAGGTGGAAGAAGGAATTAGGATATTAGCTTCTGTTTTTAAATTCTGTCCTTGGGCTGAATCCATTTCTGGCTTAAGTTTGTTCCAATGCTTTCGTGGTAATTTTTTTCCATTTGACAAAATGTTTTTGTATTTTTAACTTTATAAAATTCTCCAAAAATTAGTTGGTTATAATCTAATAATAATAATAGATTTTATATTGCACTCTTTTTCTGAAAGCTTTTGTATTTCCAAAGCTGTGAATTATTTTTTCTCAGCAAACCAACCTTATAACATATTTTAATTTTACTCTTTTGTTGGTCAATATATCATTTTTGATTCAAAATTTTTTACCAAAACATTAAAAAATGAATAAAAAAATCTTACCAAATTATCAAAATAAATTATTTTTTTCAAGATATGTTTTAAAAAAATGGCATTTTGAATAAGATATTTTATAATATAGACACTTTTCTTGTACCCACGTCCTACACTTTATTAGAATAAAGAAACTAAAACCTGGAAATTTTAAGATTTTTATCTGGAAAAATCAGGGAAATTTGAAATCTGATTTGAGTGGCCACCCTGTGAATGTAGTAAATGACAGCCGAAATAGGTGCAAAAATGAAGTTTCGATGGTAAGCGACTTATTTAAAATTAAGACACATTGCACTCTAACAAACAGAGTAACAAAACAACGAAAAGTAAGAATACAACATAACCATCTTCAACAGAAGCATAAGTGTATTCGACCTACAGATAAGGAATGACGTCATGAGCTACACCTGATCAACCAACAGCAAAAGAAAAAATACCAGCTGAGTGCTCGCAGTCCATGATGTTGCTGGCATAGGTTGAATACAGGAGAACGCTGCATCACTGAAAACGAGTTTCACAAAACAGAATATCTCAATTTTATTACGATTGATCAAACAAAACAGAAAAAAAAACTTTTAATATTTTATTTATCTAATGGTAATTGTGATGAAAACATGCGCGTCATCTGATTGCCATTCCAAAAATCTCTAGGATTTTCCATAGAGTTTCTTTTGGATTGGTTTTAATAGGATGATTGCTTTTTCTGATATTTTTTTCAACTTCTCTATTTTTTCATTTTAAAGTATTATTCTACATTGTATTATTTTCCCAGTTTTTTAATCTTTTTTGTTCTGCATTTGTTATTATTTAAAAAAAAAATTTGTTTGTGTCTGTAATAATAAATATGATGACAACATGCGCTTCATCTGACTGCCATTTTGTGATTTTTCACTTTGGGATTTTCGATTAATTTATTGCAAGTTTAAGAAGACGATTTTTTTTTTTTTTAAATTCTGGTTTTTTTCTATCGTATATTATTTTGCGTTACTTTTTTCCTGCTTTTTAATTTCACTGGCTTTATTTTTTTTTTTTTTTATTCTTTGTTCATTTATTTATTTTTTCTTTGTCCTTTTACTTAAAAGTATAATCTTTTTCAAGCTTAGTAATTTTTTTTATTCTGCATCTGTTATTGTTGAAAACAAATGTGCATATATATTGTTCTATTGTAGTGAATATGATGACCATGCCATCTGATTGTCATTTCAAGATCTCTTTGGGTTTCTTGTGAATTTTTGTTCCTATAACAATAGGAAAAATACCAAAAAAAAATTTATTATAATTTTGTTTTAGATGATAGATTTTATTAAAACAAAATCATATGTGAAATAATTTTTTAAATCTGTTAAAATTTATCTATTAAAATTATTTGTCAAAATTAGTTAATTTTTAAAATATTTAAGATCACTATGCACAGAAGACATCGTTTAAAGCGGGTTTCTGCACATTACTTTTCTATAGAAAGTGCAGGTTCTTATGCTAGGTTATTTATTAGTATAAAATGTGTTTAATTTCATTTTTGCTTCAATTAATAACTTAAGCTTTCATATCATTATTTCACTTTACTTTTTAATGAATGAAGCAACATTGCGAAGAATAGTTTTGTTACTGAGATACTTTTCTCACAGATAGTATAATCTCTGTTTTTAATTTAAATTTTATTTAGCATGATTAATAAAGTTTAATTATTTGTTTTTTTATTGATTGTGATTATCATTTTTATTATATTTTTTACTTAAAGGAATTTGAATGCAATTCAGACGTTTTGTCCTCACATTTTAAGATACATAACTGCAGCTGTCATTACAAACAAGCAGAGACCAACTGTGATGAAAGAATTAGTTCGAGTTATTCAGCAGGTATGTGAATGTTTTAAGTTCTAAACCATGATCAAATCTATCTATAGTTAAGTCATTGGAAGTTAGTTTCTCAAAAAAAAAATTTTTTTTCAATATATCAGAAATGCTAACTACATAGTGAATTAAATGCCATTTTTTTTAACGATCTGCCTTCTTAATGCTTAAATTTTTTTATTTATTATTTTTTTTAAAAAATTCAAATTATTCATGTATAGTATATCAATAATGAAGCAGCATTTGCTGATATTGTGATATCTATAAATTATGTTTAAAAATTAACCTGGAAAAAAAATTTATAAATCATGTTAAATTTTAAAGTTTTTTTTTGAAATATTTTAAATATATCAGGTTTTTCTCCGAGGTGTTTCTACCTTGATTGTGTACCATAAAATGATAACACTTGATTTGAAAATAAGTGCAAAAAATCTTCGGAAAGATAATCCAGGGATTTTAGTATTTGATCTGCAGAATAAGTAATTAAAAGTTACTACTAGTCTGTACACATTTTCAATGGTCTTTTTACATTTCTTGATTAGGTTTTATTTTTAAAAGGTTAGTAAAATAAGTGATTTTGAACTGAAAAATTAAAGACTGAGAATGTGTAATTTTCGCAATTATGATGAAATTTGCTATTTTGTGACCAAAACAGTTTACTATCCTTTTACATAAATTGCTGGTATGGGAGACCATTTATAATTTATTTTATGGCAGCCCAAGTCAAATTTTAGTTGTCCTAGAACAAGTGGCCACTGTTATTATGCTATGTGCAAATATTGCATATTAATACATATAGGTTTTTATAATATGGAATATGCTGCTATATGGAAATACATATTTATAAGAAATAACTCAATTTCTGTCAGGCTTGGCTTCTGCCTGCAGAAACGGATTTCCGTCATGTTAATGTCAGAAACTAAAAAGTATAACTCCTTTTAATCATTGTAAAAACTTGATATAATAAGTTATAATAAAATGTTTAATAATAAAATGTTTTTTTTTGTATTTATTGTACAGTAATTACTTTCATGTTATCTTTTGGCTTTTTGTCCCAAATATTGCAGAAAGGAGTTTTTGCTTTACACGTTTCTTTCACTGGTTTTAACTGCAGAATAGTCCGAGTTGGGTACTGAAATTATCAAAATAAAGACTTTTAAAACAAAAAGTTTTCCACAATAATTAAGCCGCTATAGTTAATACCGAATATATCCATTATGTTTATGTATTACTTTAATATGTAATGTTGCATACAATTGGGGTATTCTCTGTACATGCTGATGGCAGACACCTCATATCTGTGGCAAAATTGTAGTTTATCGTTGCTGAAACTTGGAATGATATTAATACTATTGTCCTCCAGGGATTGATAAATGATATGCAGCAACATTGTATATTTTAAGTCGTCTATAAACTAGGCAAAAATATTGGGCATTAACAATGGTGGCTTAAATTGGCAGCAAATTTACTTTTTTTTTTTTTTTTTTTTTTTTTTTTTTTTACCCAGAAGTGAGATTCTTCATGTAAATCTGTATTCGTCTGAAGACTTTGCAATATTAACAATGTTTTGCTTTCATTAATTTGCTTTTATTTTCAGTTATGACACACAATTTATTATAGTTGTTTTTCTTCTTAAGTTACAAGCAAACTTAATTAATAATTTACTGTGATTTTTTTTTTTTTAAATGCCTTAGGTTTTTATGTTAATCTTTAACATCTGTACTTTAACAAGATTTATTAAAATATGTGAAACTGGAAAATGTATTTGTTTGTAAAAGTGATAACTTTATTTATTTTTCTTGATGAAGTTTGACAAAGTCAAAATTTATTTCANTCTTTTATTCAAATTTAAAAATATAAGATTGGTAGGTTTTTATGTTAATCCTTAACATCTGTGCTTTAACAAGATTTATTAAAATATTTGAAACTGGAAAATGTATTTATTTGTTAAAGTGATAACTTTATTTATTTTTCTTGATGAAGTTTGACAAAGTCAAAATTTATTTCAAAAGTGTTAGAAAAAAATATGTAAAATATACATTTTTGCAAGTCCCTTATAATAACTGCTTTTTAATTTTAAAAAAACTGTCTAGTTATCTTTTACACTAAGTCCTTAAAATTTTAGACTCCTTGGATTTCTTTTTCTCATCTCTGTATCAACCCTGATTGTACATTATTTAGAATCTGAAAATGTCTTCGTAAATCATTTTCAAAATTGAAAATATGTATTTATAATTTTGAACCCAATAATAACCTTTACTCTCTTATAACGTAATGTAATGTTTATGCTAATAACAAAAAGAAAATAGAGTAGCCTTAAAATTAAATATGTTTATTGGTACATAAATTATATGCTTTGTTTTCCCTGTGATATTTTTAAATTTCCTTATCTTTTTTTTTTTCTTCTTATTTAGGAAACTTATCAGTATAGAGATCCACTAACAGAGTTTGTTGAATGTCTGTATGTTAACTTTGATTTTGACCGTGCACAACAAAAGCTCAGAGAATGTGAAGATGTCTTATCTAATGACTTTTTCCTTGTTTCTTGGAATGATCTATTCATTGAGAACTCTCGATTAGCAATTTTTGAAACATTCTGTTCCATTCATCAATGCTTATCACTTCAGTAAGTGCATAGTTAACTTTTAATTTATTAATGTTTTTTCCTCAATAAATAACAAAAACTAAACTCAGTGGCGGGACAGCCCATAGAGGGCCAAGGCCTACTGTTCCCATCTAAGTTTTCTTGGGCTCTGGGGTGCAGGAGCAGATGTTCCAGTTAGGTGGTCAGTTGAACGCGAAACCCCCAGTTCCCAAGCATGCTTGGTACTATTTATCGAACCACTGAAGGGGTGGAAGGCTGAGTCAACCTTGCCCGGCCAGAGGATTGAACCCAGGACCTGTGGGCGTGAAGCGCTGCCCCTCAGCCACCGGTCGTTTAATAAGTAACAGTTTTTTAAAGTTTTAATTTAAATGTACAGTACACTCTCGATTATCCGTGCGTGGATTATCCGGTTTGCGGATTATCCGTGCTCATATCGGAGTCACAAAAAAAATTTAAAGAGAAACATTTCGAAATTATCATGCATGTAAAATTGATGTTAATGTGAATTAGAATCTTGTCATATCAGTTTTGCAGAATAGTCACGCAATCTATTAACCCTTTCGAAGGCCGTGGTAAGTATACTTACCACCGCTTTTTACCACTTTTAATTTAGGTTTCCATTTGTTAATAACTTCAGCTTTCTTGAAGTGCGTTTCAATAAAATTGGTAACCATTAGTTAGTTTAAAAAATCGTATAAAAGTTATAAAATACATAATTCCTTTTGAAGTTTGCAGCATTTATAAAATTTATTTTATAAATAAAGAAAAATAAAAATCAATAAGTTCCTAATAGGTCATGTTAAATGTATTTACCACCAAAAAAATGGCCTTTTTATAAACTAAATGAGTTTTTTTTTTTCTTATATCAATTACTGTTCTTAAAACAATTTCAATTCCAAAAAAACTTTAATTTACCTTTACTAGAAATAAATGGCCCATTAAAGGGTTAACAGGATATGAAACTAAGCAGAATGAAAGTTTTTATTGATAATAATCGCTAGAATAACATTTTAAAGTGCGTAGAGGTAAAAATCGAATGCTCTGGAGACTGTTTGACGGGTAGGGTTGAAGGGGAAGGGAGGGATCGGAATTTTGCTCAACTACCCTCTCTCACTTTCACACGTGTTTGTCTTGATTATCGTCAGTTAGTAGAGTGAATTTTTTTACTATTAAAAATGAGTGGCGTGAAACGAAAGCGAAACGTTTTAAATGTTAAACAAAAATTAGAAATTCTTGAAAAACTTGATAATGGAGAATCAGCTAGCAAATTAGCAAATGATTATGACATTGGAGTGCAAACTGTACGCGATATAAAAAAGAACAAGGAAAAACTGATTACCTTCACGAGAGATTGTGATGACGAATCTGCACTTTTGAAGCGGAAAAGTCTGAAAACGTCAACATACAAAGATTTAGATTCTGCTTTACTACAGTGGTTTAATCAAAAAAGAGCAGAAGGTATACCTATTTCGGGTGCCATGTGTTCCGAAAAAGCGAGATTTTTTCATGAAGCGCTAGGATTAGAAGGAGATTTTAATGCTTCATCTGGTTGGCTCTCTCGATTCAAGCAACGCTATGGAATTCGGCAGTTAAATATTGAAGGAGAACGTTTAAGTGCTGATTTGACAGCTGCAGAATCGTTTTGTTTGAAATTTAAAGAATTTATTGACGAAGAAAATTTTACTCCCGATCAAATTTATAATGCGGATGAGACAGGTCTGTATTGGAAATGTCTTCCAACAAAAACACTTGCTTCACGGGCAGAAAAGTCAGCTCCAGGCCACAAATCGTCGAAAGAGCGCATTACAATCATGTGCTGTGGAAATGCTTCAGGGGACCATAAAATGAAACTCGTAATGATTGGAAAGGCTAAGAACCCCCGCTCGTTTAAGGGTACAGGATCAAAAAATTTACCTGTTGTTTATTTCAATCAAAAGGGGGCATGGATGACAAGGGACATTTTTCTCCTATGGTTCCATGAACACTTTGTTCCTGAAGTCAGGAAACACTTACAAGCAAAAGGCTTACCCAAAAAAGCAGTATTGCTTTTAGACAATGCCCCTTCACATCCAAATGAAAGTTTGCTAGTGTCTGATGACGGATTTATTACTGGTAAATTTCTACCTCCAAATGTTACAGCAGCGATACAGCCTATGGATCAAGGTGTAATTTCAGCGATGAAACGGCTCTATAGATCTGAACTTCTGAAAAATTTGATTCATGAAGTTATAACACTACCAAATTTTTGGAAGCAATATTCGCTATTGGATGCAGTATATGGAATATCAGCAGCATGGTCAAAGGTAAAATCATCTACGTTATCACGATCGTGGAGAAAGATCATACAGCTTGATGAACAATCTTCCTCAGATATTCAAGAAGAATATGATAACAGTATTCTTGAACAAGCAAGAGAAATCGAAGGTTTCGAAATTCTTGATGAAGAAAATTTAGAAGATTGGTTTCAAAGTGATGCATGTGAGCCTGGCTTCCAGCATTTAACTGATGAAGACATCCTTACTAACTGTATTGTTAAGTCAAATAGTGATGATAGTACTGATGCAGACGATGTAGTAAATGAGGGAAACACAATTTCACACTCTACTGCTCTACAATCTGTGGAAACTTTATTAGATTATATGGGAGAACGTGGGTTTGATTACGGCGACATTACTGCTGTTCGTAAAATATGTGTCAATATACGGCAAGAGATGAACAAACAGCAGAAACAAAGACTCATCACACACTTTTTTAAGTAGTAAATGTTAAAAGGAAAATTCCTAGTTTGATGTTATACAGCATGGTAATGCAAGGAATTTTTATATTTTGATGCACTGATGTTGATTTTTTCTTTAATAAAAAAGAGTTTTCGGATTATCCGTGTTTTTCGATTGTCCGTGCGACCCGTCCTGGTGATTAACCCGGATAATCGGGAGTACACTGTAGTTTAAGTTACACTATTATAGTTCGCTCCTTTAATTAATACAAATATCTTTGCTTTTTATTCTATAAGAAGCATTGAGTAAGACACAGAAAGAATTGATTATTTTATGTGACAAATGCATGATCTGTTAGCTGAAGTTGGTTGCTTTGGTTTTGCTAAAGAATCTAAAAGCTGTAATTTTTTTTTCGTATTATTCCATTTTTATTTTCACTAACAAGTTTAATCTGATCATCATGTTTTTCATTTGCTTTAAGGAATCTTATTTGTTAACCTAGGCATGAAAATGTAATATCTCCTCAGTGCAAATAGAATCGCGAGAGAGAGCCATTCAAATCTTGCCAAGAAATATAAATTAATCCACTAATGATTTTGATTTAAAAGCTTTAAGGAAAGAAAGAAAAAAAACTGAACTAGTGCTGTTATGTGGGTCAGAAGGGCAACTAAATGTTAAAATATCTTTAAGCCTATATGTTTCACATTAAATTAATTAAAGTTTTTTTTTCTTGTGTTCCAAAGTAGCCACTATTGGCAGCAACAAAATTTCCTAACTTTGCCTTCTAATGTATTGTTTATCTGTCTAATGATTTTAAATATTTTAGAATGCTCTCTGAAAAATTGAATATGTCATATATAGAGGCTGAAAAATGGATAGTTAACCTGATACGAAATGCACGTTTGGATGCAAAAATAGATTCTCAACTGGTAACTATTTTTTTTTTACTAGATTATGGTTAAAATGTTTATATATATGTTAGGAAATGTTGTTTCTTTTTTGTTTTTAGGGGCATGTCGTGATGGGAACAAAAAAACTTTCTCCTCATCAGCAACTTATTGAAAAAACTAAACAGCTGTTTGGTAAAACAAATTACTTCTTTGCTAACCTTGAAAAAAGACAACCGGCTAGCCATTTAGAAAAGGTAAGTTTTATTTTAAAATATATAGTTTTTCATATATATTCGTACCTTCTTAGTACCATAAAGAAAAACAGTTTTTTGACAAGTGATTATCACTGTGATTCATTCACTAAACTAAACTCAGTGGCGCGACAGCCCATAGAGGTCCAAGGCTTACTGTGCCCATCTCAGTTTTCTGGGGTGCAGGAGCAGATGTTCCGGTTAGGTGATCAGCCGAACGCTGAACCCCCAGTGTTTAGTTCCCAAGCATGCTTGGTACTCATTTATCAACCCACTGAAGGGATGAAAGACTGAGTCAACCTTGCCCGGCCCCAGAGTCGAACCAGGGGCCTGTGGCACGACAGCGCGAAGCGCTACCGCTCAACCACCGGTCTCCAAGGAGTACTTGGAACTACTTAGATTTCTAAATTAGTCCTTAGATTATTGTGTTGCATAGATTAACTTATTAAGTACGCTGATGAATTTGCTGTCCAAACAGGGAAACTAAATTATATGACTTAGGTGTCAAAATCTAATCGTTTGAGAAATATTTTAAAAGAAAATAAAATTGAATTACAAGAGTTAGAAGAAAAATATAACAGCAAATAATTTTAATTTTACATGTTACAAGCAAACTTAAGTAATAATTTACTGTGTTTTTTTTTGTGTGTGTGTGTATAAAATGTCTTGGATTTTCTTACGTACTCAAATTTAAAAATATAAGATTGGTAGGTTTTTATGTTAATCTTTAATATCTGTACTTTAACAAGATTTATTAAAATATTTAAAACTGGAAAATGTGTTTATGTGTAAAAGTGATAACTTTATTTTTCTTAATGAAGTTTGTCAAAATTTATTTCAAAAGAGCTAGAAAAAAATATGCAAACTAAACATTTTTGCGAGTTCCTTATAATAACTGCTTTTTAATTTTTAAAAAAAAAAATTGTTTAGTTATCTTTTACACAATGTTTTTTAATTTTTGATAAGTCCTTAAAATTTTGGACTCCTTGGATTTCTTCTGATCTCTGTATGAACCCTGATAGTGCGGGATATCGGAGACCCCCGAATAGGGTTCATAAATTGAGGTTTAATAATTTAATAATAAGAAATAACTATGAAACTCAAAACCTAAGTTTAACTTTAAATGTTGAATTGTGCAGACAAAAAGACCTTATATGGTTCTACAAATTGAGCTTTCCAGAGGATTCAGATTTCAAGAACAATCTGATATACTATATGGGGATATTCAGGATAAAGGACCATAGATGATTCTAAAAATTGAGCTCTTCAGGTAGACTTAGAGGTTGGGCAGCTCTGGCGAGCAGGGCACATCGACCAGAGATCTATTGTACCCAAACCCTAACATCATGATTAGCATGAAATAAAATTCAGCAAGCACCTTACAGAAACATCTTGCAGTTCCCAGGCATTGACGCTATGTTGCCCTTAATGCTCAAATCTTTGAGCAGAATAGACCTCACAATCACTGAGTATGTGATTGTAAGGTAACTTCAGGTAACTTAGATTTCAAGAACAACCTGTGATATACTATATGGTGATATCTGTGATAAAAGACCGTATATGGTTCTAAAAGCTGAGATCATCCGGCAATTCAGATTTCAAGAGCAACCTGTAATATACTATATGGAGATATTTGTGATAAAAGACGTTGTATGGTTCTAAAAATTGAGCTTTCCAGGCAATTCGGATTTCAAGATTGATCTATGATATGTGAACACTATGTAGCTTAATTTCAACCAAGTTTAAGCATTTATTTCTCATGAAATATCTTTGTTTCATTTTTTCAAAATTTTATCATGCATATGTAATATTTGCTATTAATATTTGTTTTAGGTTCCACACTGGGCTGTACAACCTTTTTGATGAAAAACAAGTTATTTTTATACATGTAATAGTTCTGGACTTTCATTAAAAAGTACTTCATTCAAAATGTGTCATTTTCTTGTTTATTAGCTGTATTTCTGTTTTTTTTTGCCAGAAGTCTGACAGGGATGCAACGGATATTTGTTAAACATATTGCATCTGGCATATCAAGACAGATATTAGTTAAATGATAGTTGATCTAGTCTAAATAGTTTAGGGAAAATCATCTATGTATTAAAAAAGATTGCAATATTAACGAATGAATAAAAGAAAAATTGATATTTCTTTTTATATTTTCCAGAAAATATTTAAAGAAATTGAATAATGAATTAAGCACTTTTGTCATTGAAGCAGAGAACAATTTTAAACAAAAACAGTTAGAAACAAGTACAGAAATGGATATACTCTAGCTTTAGTTCTCCAGTCAAGGACCTTCCTCGGTGATTTTAATTACTTGGAGATTAACCTTCTATGAATCTAAATTAGTTAATTTTTCCAAAAATCAGTACTTTAAAATAGAAAGCATTTTTCACCTAAATGTCGATTAGCGTGTTAAGGATTGGAACAGCTGCGCTAATTGCACCAAGCGGCACCATCATATTGGAATTGGAAAAACTATGTAGAAGGAGTCGAAAAAATTATCAATAAACGTCGTGCTTTTCCGATAAAATAATCGCAAATAAACCCCGCCTCAAAAGTAGTACCTAAAATTGTAATTACGCATCATAATGGCATTGTATTTAAACTGTATTAGAATTAGAAAGAAAACAAGTTACTTGGCCGGTAGAAAAATAATGTGGAATTGCATTGAATCAAACACATAAGTAATTTTCTATTAAATTTGTTAGTTTAACCAAGTGATTATTTACTAGTTTAGTTTAACAAAGAAACTTGAAACTGAAATTCTCGTGCTATAATACCGTTGTTGATTGAAAATATCAAAATTTGAAAAACAACTTGGAAATGGATGAAAACATGATTATCATCATGAATTGAATGCGTCAAAATGTGATATCTGAAATACAAAATTCGCGTGTCTTCATTATATCTTATTAAAAATTTCGCAATATGAAAATGCCTAAAGAACTGTTGAAAAAAATAATCATCAAATAACGTCGATTTACGATAGAATTGTTAATTCGAAAAACACTGTGTAAATCACCGAATAAAGATATGAAGAAAAATTGAGCGAAAAACAACTTTGTTTCACTAGGAAATTTGCTAGAATTGACCTTTTCTTCCTTTTTCAAAAAAGAAAAAAAGGTAAATTTTAGCAAATACTATTTATACCTTTTTTTTTTTTTTAAGATTTAATTTCCGTAGGAAACCCAGTTTAGTAAATTTCAGTTATATATTTATTTAGGTAGTTCTTTTTTGTGTTTCTCCCAAGCTCATACTTAACTAACTCATTGATTCAATTGCTGTCTAGTTGCTGTGATTTCTGGAGGAGGGGATCTTAATTTGTTTTTGTTTAACTAAGCAAAGTTAGATTATTTACCTAGTCTCTTAATTTCACTGATCTTAGTTGATGAAGGCACTGACACTTTTAAATGGTCTCTAGAGTGTTTTTCGGAATTAAAAAAAAGAGTCCATGCACTATTAAAAAAAATCACCCTCAGTAACTTTTTTCTAATGATCGAGTTTCCATGTACAAGAACTCGATCTTAAAGGTTCCAGGGTGTGACCTCAAATACGCTAATCAATTATTGCATCATACGATATTTTAAGTTACGAAATCAGACTCAAAAACGTACTTTCTCTGAATAAACATGCCTTTTTTTTGGACAAATAACTAAAAATACAAGGGGTAGCCGCTAACTAGGAAATATGATCTCAAGAGTTTGGTCAGGGGCAGGGACCGATCAAGACAAATTCAGGCCCACCAAATTTTCCGGGGCCCCTATTTTGAAATTAAATTACTGAAAAGTAGTCCACAATGAAAACGAATCTATTGAACGGCATGATTCAAGAGAAACATTCTAAGAAATTTTGAAAGCAGACAATTGAAGAAAATTTTTCTAAGATTAAGTTTACGTATCTATAAATTAAAGCAAAACAATGTTATATCAAAATAAAAATAGTTTGGTGGCCACAAACAATTGAAATCAGTGATTTTTTGCCAAAATCACCGATTTTTATTTAGTACTGTTTGTTGTAACAGTTTTTCATTTAATACTTAAACCAACACAAAGCTAGCCCATCTTTCATTAGACTTTTTACTACTTTTCGAGGGTCCCGTAGTGGACTGATCGTTAAGACACGGTTCCCAGCAGATCACCGAAGTCAAGCATCACTGGCTGCGATCAGTGTGCGTGTGGGTGACCACTTGGATCAGTCTGCGTTGGGACCGAGGGTGTGCGGTATTAGTCCTCGTTAAACTGTGCTACCGTAAAGTGCTCGACTTCCCGCGCAGGTCGTCGGGCTTCCGAAGCGGGGGTGCCATCCCCTCCGCAGAGGATCAAAATTGTGATAGCATGTCATCGGATCATCCTCCGGAATGTTTCCCAGACCGTCGCCAATAGCCCATTGTGCAGCTCTAGTGCGACGTAAATTATCATCAACTACTTTTTGAGGCCCCTCAGAAATTGTGGGCCCATGCCTATTGGGCCTAGGCGATAATCAGGCTCTGGTCAGGGGTGCTTCTTAATGTTAATTTTAATTTCTGCGTATTTCACCATAACACGAGTATTTTTTTAAACGAATCAAAAAAAAATTGCAGACAATTATAAAATTCGTTTATCCAAAGATAATTCTATGCAAGAATATTATTTAATAATGACCGAAGGAATTCCGAATTGTAATGTTTTACATCATTTTGAATTGTAATTTGAAGAATGCAATTTTAAAAAGCAAAATACAAAATTGAAGCTAATCGGTCGAATAGTTCCTGAGAAACCAAATTATAAAAATTCGTATGTTTAATGTTCATAGTGTAATTCTTAAGGTTAAAAGAACTTAATGATTTGTAGAGCCGTAGTAGCCCAGTGGTTAGAGAATCGGACTCTGGAGTTTGAAGCTCTACTCAGCTAAGAACCATCGAGTACATGCGATATACGTGCCCGAAATCAAAAGTCCTGTGAGCAGTACCATGAGCACAGGGATCTGGGGAAATTTTCCGTCCCCTTCAGATTTATGTCTGAATTGTGATGACGTGTCTTCAGATGATCCTCAGGGATGCTTCCCAGGCCGTCGCTAATAGGCCTTTCTGTAGCTCTAGTGCGATGTACATAAAGTATTTATCTGCCTTAATGATTTGTAATATAGATACGTCTTTTGACGACGGTCTGAAAAAAGTCCCTGACGATTTTCCGAAAACATGCCATCACAGTTCTCGTTTTTTTTTTTTAGAGAGAGATGGCTCCTTCGTTTTCGTAACAAGGCGTACGTGCGAAGTAGAGCACTATGCAGTAGAGAGGTTTAACAAGGACCAATACTGCTGCATACCCTCGGGTTCCTACGCAGACTGTTTAAAGTGGTCACCCACCAGCTTACTGGTCGCAGCTTGTCATGCTTGACGTCAGTGTTCTGCTGGGAATCGTGTCTTTACGATCAGTCCACTGAAGGACTATTTATTTATTAATTAAAGTGCATATACATGCTTGTGTTGTCATTACATACCTCGGGGGGGGGGGGGCNNNNGGCTCTGGTCAAAATTACGATCTGCGGGTGGATGGTGTGTGAATGTGTCCTCCCTGCAAAACGGGATGTAACGTTTGTATGTTGTCTCCGGATCAACCTCAGGGATGTTCTCTCGACCGTCGCCAATAGCTAATTGTGCAGCTCTAGTGTGACGTAAATAAAAAGTATCAGTGTGGTCATTAGAAAGTACGTCTTATAAGCTCTTGTCAACTCGAAGAACGGTTACGGGGCCTCCAAAAGCTCTGTTAAGCGTGTATTTGGCAGGTTCGAATCCCGTCGTAACCCTGGATGTATTCTTCGTGATGTCCTTCTCTATATTGTGCTATCTGTTCTTCTACTTGACAAAGGTTTATAAGTCTTAATTGAGCACACAAGCCTGCAAATGTATGTTGTACATCAATAAAGAACGGATAGTACAAGCAAACGCAGAACATCACAAAGCTAAATCCTATGTTACGGTGAGATTCGAACCCGCTACCTTCACCCCACAGAGTGTTTGGCGGAACGGTGAGATTGCTCGACCAGGGAGGTATCCTATTCCTGCTTATTGTCAATTAGTTTAAGCTCAGACTGTTAAACTTGAAAAGTTACGATTTCGAGTCATGATTTTAATATTTACGAATTTGACAGCACACACTTTGTATTTTCAATCTTTCACTGGTAAGTAGAAGTCCATTTTTTTTTTAATAAATTGTTTAAGAGTCATTTTGTAAGTAAGTTTTATTTCAATTTAGTTTCTCCAAATAAGAAAATATATTATTGTAAATCAGACAAGAAAGTTATCAGTGATTTGTAGNTGAAACATTAATTCAATTCAAAGTGAGGTGAGTAGTATTTCCTTATTTTTATAGCGAATCATAGAGATTTTTTACACTAAATGTATCAGCAAAAAAATCTGATTATGGATTGATAATTTTAAAAGGTCCCTATGAGTCATAGATATTGCAAATAATTTCAGCTAAAATAATGTATTGCATACTTGTTTCTTTTAATATTTCGTTTTTTCTTTAATTATTCTATATCGTATTTATTTATTATTGAAGCATAAAATAGTCATTTATTACAAAAGCATTTATCAAAATCCTTGAATAATGTTGAATGGTTGTTGAATTATTCCAAAAAAAATGTGTGAGGAAATTGGAACTTGTTAAATATTCTTGTAGGTTTGCATTTGAATCAAATATATTTCAGACATCTTGACAAATCATTTTTTTTTTTTTATTGGATTCCTCTCCCCAGAAGAAATTAAGAAAAATCTTAACCCTTTTTTTATATCTAAATATCTTAGCAACGGTGCAAAAAAAGTGCTATAGTTTAGCAAAAAAGTTTTGCATCCAAGAAAATATATATTCAAATACAAAAATAATCGTGTATGTAGCTCTTTTTTTTTATTTCGTTTATTTTTATTTTTGTATTTTGTGAATATAATTTAACATGTGTGTATCAGAAATTCTCCAATTTAACTTTTTGAAACCACTCATTTTGAGCGAAATTATTTACATTTGTAAATTTTGCAGCCAGAATTTTTTAATATGCAATTAAATATTTTTAAAAATCTATATCTTATTTTAATTTGTAATCCAATACTTTTGTTTCGTGCAACTTGATAAAAATCTGTCAGTAATATTTAATGTTCCTTCAAAAAAAAAATTCCTATATAAAATTTTGATAAAGTTGCGGCCCACCATTTGACTGGTGTTTTCAATCGCGTACCCCGGCCTCATGTAAGTTGGTCTAGAATCTAGCCTCTCACACTTAATGTTAACTTCTAGAAGAATTTATATAATTCTTCATTCAGAAAATAATTTATGTTGTTTAATTAGTATTTTTGTTTCACTGAGACTTAGAGCTGCAAAACGCAACTGAATGTTGGAAAAAGAAAACATATCGTATAAAAAATTCGTTAACAGACTTCTGAACAGAAATTCGTTAACAGACGTTTTCTCTGACTTGATACTGTAACTCAAAATTTCATAAGTGAAACCTCTCGGGAAATTTCATGAGTAGAACCCATGGTTTCATAAATAGAACCCTAGCTCCATGGTAGAACCTCTCGGCTGGATGAATCAACAAAATGATTTTGAAACGTGAAATTACGAAGGTATGTAGAGTACGATGGAATTAAAAAAAACTTACTTCTGATAATTAGTACGAGAATTATTAACTGTTAAACTCGTTTTAAAAAATACTACGTTAATCACTTATCAGTTCGCGTAACTGAAATCACTGAGGTGCTGAAAAGGCCATGCTCATTTATTAACTTATAAAAGGCTTTTTTCCATTCTTATTTCAATTTGTTCGAAAGTACTTACCAATTTGAACTCTTTTACGCCATTTCTTTCAATTTTTTTGAGTTAAATAATTCATATTTATCTATTCCTTTTCTCACTCGAAATCATTTTGCACGTTTGTCCTTTACTTCATGTCAAAAGGTGCACAAAAAAAAAAAAAAATTATAAAACATAAGTGAGTGAGATATTTGATGCTGCCAGATATAAAGTTATTATTTTTATTGAAATTTTCAAAAGTATAAACTGTTAAAAAGAAATTAAAACTATTTCTAATTTAAAAGTTATATGATAGAAGAAAAGCAATGTATGTAAATTTTTAACAGATAAAATTTAAGTATTAACAAGCTGTGCTTAAAAGAGTAACGAATATTTTATAAATAAAGTTTTTTAATCGATTTTTAAAAAGTAAAGTGCTCTCGTATTACATCTTGTATGGTATGTATAAATTCGGAGTTCGTGAGTTTGGGTAAGTGCTTCTTTCTCTCATCATTTGTCCAGAAGGGGTTGAAAACGATACGGCAACAGTTTATTACTTAGGTTCGAAAGTTTCTTATTCGATAATTAAAGAAATATATTTTTTTTTTAACTTTTATTTAATATTTGGAATATATTGAATAGTATCTTAAGTGTTAGTTAAAGTGAATGTTCGAATTTATGAATCTAGTATAACTTTATTTTAAAGAGAAAAATTTACTCAACGGATAAAATTTCATTACAGTATACAGTGAAAAAAAACGCCAGTTCAAGCATAAAGCATTTGAACACAATTTTTTAAAAACAGTTAAAGGCATTGAAATTATGTTGTTTAGCATGTCTGTTAAAAACATTATAAAATCTGCACTGTATAAAGCAAACATTTTTATATAATTATATTTACAAAACGAGCTTACAAATTATTTTTCATTGCGCACATTGTGACTATTTACAGAAAACTGAATTATATTTAAAACATCAGAGCAATCAATCGTATTACTAAAATTTTATAGAAAAATAATAAGCAAGACAAATCTCTACGACATTTGATTAAGGGATATATTTTGCAATGTAGAAACAGGTAGATCAGGAGGATATTGCTTATTTATTCCATTAAATATTGCGAAAAATGTTTTTTTACCTAGGTTTTTTTAAAAAGTTCGGCATTTTTTTTTAAAATAAAATTTTATAAAACAGATATGAAAAATTAAATTACGTCTACAAATTTATAAAATCGTTGCAAAAAATTTTCTTTCAGAATGATTTGCTAGGTTTTTTTATTTTTGTAATTAGATTTTTAGTTTCTGAAAATTTTAAATTGGTTTTTCTATAATTGATTTTAAATACAGTAAACATGCTGAAGAAAAGTGGTTACGCAACAAGTAATTAAATTAAATTTGCTATTTTTCTAAATGCTGATCAACATTTTGTTACCAATATGCATTTCTTAGGAATAAATATTTAATATGTGATCAAATTAAACATGATTTTATTAATTAATATAAAATACGAAGTGACATCCAGTGTACGAAGTGAAATAACATCGGAAATAAGTATTAGTCCTTTCTCCAAAATTTGATCTATTTTTTTAAGCCCTCTTTTTAAAGGTAACTGAAAGTCAGGTCTTGCTTTCATTGAAGACATTCAGTCTAACCAATATTGTATTTGCGCATGCGTGACATAGAACACAAAAACCTGGCACAGGCAGGCAGCTTAAATTCTCTATCCCAGTTCTCGATCAGCCAACAGTGAGCACGAAGTTTTATCAAAAGTTCTGCAGCGACATTAAAAAAGGCTTTCTTTTTCTGCGATTAATATCATAACAATCCACGAAAAAAGATTAACAATATCACATGTTAAGTATCAGGATGGCATACAATTGCCAAATGAGGAATTTAGAAAGAAAAAAAAATTAGTTAACAAATTAAATTAATTGTCATACCGTTTCCCCCCAATATGCCGGTTTTATTTACTTCACCCCATATAAAGTATATATAGAATATTTCATTCTTTTAATAAATAAAAGAAAAATTATGAAAGAAGTACTTTTGTATAGTATGGCTTTCAGGAGAACTCCTCCAGACACCCGTCTCGCGTCGTGGCGGGTACTATGGTTACGAGGAAAGGTCACTTCAAATAGGGGTGTGGAGTGAACAATTTTGTCTTAATCTTAGCGTAGGTCGTCGTAAGTAAACCAATCGACTCCCTCTTTCCTCCATTTCACCCTCATTAGAAATGCGGTCTCGCTTGTTACCATAGCAGCAGACGACCCCAAACTTTCAGTCTGGAGGAGTTCTCCTCAAAGCCACACTATATAGCGCTTTATGTCCAGTACATAATTGGTATGCNCTGGGTGGCGCAGTTAGTTTGTCGTCGGCCTTCTGAGCCTAAGTCTGCGGGTTCGATCCCCGGCCCAGACACCGGATTTTCGGGATGGAGAAAATTCTCAGCGGCCATTTCGTATGATTATGCGGCATGTAAAAGATCCCTGGAGTGCCTTATTGGTTCTTGGCACTTTCGGGCGAAATTAAATTCCTAGTGCACTTTATCATCCAAATAAAAGCCTCGGTGCTGCCATCTAGTGTGGCAGAAACTAGACGTCCAAATTAACATGGCCAACGGTATCTCACCCATTGTGGTGGTCCTGAAAGAGTGGATACCACTTCTGGAGAACGCAATAGGTCTGCTCATGTGTGCGCACTTGTGCAGCTCATTGAATATTTAAAAAAAAAAAAAAGATATCACATGTTAAGTATCAGGATGGCATACAATTGTCAAATGAGGAATTTAGAAAGAAAAAAAAATTAGTTAAATTAAATGAATTGTCATACCGTTTCTTCCCAATGAGCCGGTTTTATTTACTTCACCCCATATATAGTATATATAGAATATTTCATTCTTTTAATAAATAAAAGAAAAATTATAAAAGTACTTTTGTAAAGCGCTTTATGTCCAGCACATAATTGGTATGCATATTTTAAACATAATCAATCAGTATTACTTCATATTTATTATCTTAATTCGAGTTTTCACAAATTTTTGAGTTACTGCTAATTATTTTTTCTTATAAATTTCAGGATTTTGTTCACAGCGAGGTTGACGAAAATTAAATTTTTAAGGACGTATAACATTTTGCTGATCCCATGTTGCTGAACTAAATGTAATAGGTTTTAACAAATATTTTTATATACATAAAAAAAACTGACATGTCCGTTATGAGGAACAAAGATATTGTGGAAATTGCTCTAAAGATATGTTGCGACAATGAATTCAAAATCGAAATTTTTTCAACGGCATATTCAGACCATATAAAGCCCATAGACTGTAAGGAAGAATGGGATGAAATGGTTGAAAACAGAGCATTAAACTTTTTAAGAGCATACAACGTGGAAGAGAATCAGCAAGAATCAGTAATTGGTGCTGTGTTTTCCATCGCTCTGAGAATGCTGGTATGGATTGAATATCATGTTGGAACTTTCAATTTTCCTCGGGAGTTTTGTGTTGAATTCTTAGAACCTTCCTTGTTTACACCAGAAGGAATAATCGATTCTCAAAAAGTAGCAACAAATATAACCGAGATAACATTTAGTAACTTGCAAGACTTTCAATTAGCCAGTTATTATTGCCAGATGGAACGTATTCCAGAATTGTTCCAAAATTTGTCGGAAAAAGACAAAAAATTAGTTTACGATGCAAATAATCCTCACCTTATTTTTCAACCAGATATAATAAAATTTTGGTCCTACTATTACATGGGAGATATTGATAAATTACAAGAAGAAGACGTTAAAATTGATCAGTATAGACTTAAAACAGCTATTGCAAGTGGTTCGCAAGTAGCAGTAGAGTATTGCTTGAGAATTATGAGCTTAAAAACGAAACAAAGCAATTTAGTAGATACTGCCGTTAGCATAATTACACTCAGGATGCAAAGAGAGCTAAAAGCTAAAGAACCAAATTCTAACTTTGTCAATGATTCTGTTGTTTTCCGGAGTCGAAACTATAGCTGTAAAACAGATTTATGGACACCAGATTATTTTTTATCCGATATATTTCATTCCCTACTATCTAGGATGTCTGTTTCAGAGAAGTTCGATATGCTTAGAAAACTCTTCATTACCATTAAATTTGACACTTTAAATTTAAAGAATAAATACATCAAAGTTCTTGATCTCTTTTTATGTTGGCCTTATCAAGACCAGTTTCTGGAATTAATGAAATTGTCCTGGAAACATTTACCGAAGAGAGCTTTCGGTGGTCTTCTTTTAGAAATTGTAAACAGAATTGCCCCTGAAATGGGTTATTTCTGGTATGGCGAAGGCAAAATTTGCAATTATAGAAAGCTGTTGATGGATATCTGGACAGCAAGTCCAGCAAGTTTTAAAAGATATGTATTCAGTGATAAAAAACGTTCATTTCAAAATAAGGACGATCCTCAAGGGAATGTAATAATAAAAGAAGGAAAAGAATTACTTTTAAGAATGTTCCATCTGAACAATTTTTCTGAATCTGATAGAAGAACCGCTATGTCTATAATCGAATCTGCAATACAAGATGAAAGAAGGGATTTCTTACTATCATCAGAAGGAGCTATGGTTTGTGTAAGGCTTATCGAATCGGGAATGCTCGATTTCTTCGAAGAATTAATATCTATTTGTTTAAAATCTTCTGAAAGTGTCCGAAAATTCAGAAAGAAATTCTGTTTCTTGAAAGCAAAATATGATTTCTTAGAATTTGTTAAAGACGAAAAATGGAACGAAGCTGAAGAAACTTTGAAATGGGGCGAATTAACGGAAGAGGAAACGATAGCTCTTAAAAAGGAAATGATTTTCTGCAAAGATGGAAAGCAAACTTGCAGGGAACTTTGCCTGACAAAATCAAGCGCGGCGGATTACTTTGTCCATTGGTGCTTGCCTTCTGCTGATTCTATTAAGAAATTTAAACAATCATTGCTTTATGATGAAGAAGGAATGCGCATGTGTCAAAATTTTTTAAATAATGATGTAACCGCACTTGCTGACAAACTCATAAATTGGTGCCTTTCATCTCAAGATGATATAAACGAGTTTAAAATGTCTTTCGCGCTCAAAACTAAGATTTCTTTGAATTCCAATTTAGAAGGAATGGGTAAATGGAGTGTAAAGGACTTTCCGAACCGAATTATTGATTGGAAATCTCTGAAAACACTCTTGCTGTGGTGCTTTAAGTCAGAATCTGATGAAAACTGTTTTAAACGAAAGCTTCTCGAAAATTCAAGAGAAAATATTATTTTGAAATGCATTGAATTGGATAGGTGGGACGTTGCTGATCTGTTCATTTCTTGGTTAGACTTGTCAACAGATGAAGAGAAAAGAATGAAAAAATAACTATTTTTCGAAAGCTCTTCTATAAACGACTTTTTTGATGATGTTATGGCAAGTAATGAGAACGATCGAAAGTTTGGTAATAGTGGAGGTAAACAACAAGCAATCGAACGCTTTTTAAAGTGGTTTTTAGTGGATAAAGAAAGTATTAAAGAATTTATGAGCAGGTTTAAGTGTTATAAAACAGATATTGATATACAAAGTATAATTAAAAAGCTAACTCAAGCTAGCTTATAAAAATGCAAATTCATCAAAAACCATACTATAGCGTCGTTTTTATACGTAGGAATATTACAATACAACATTTCGTTTTTTAAGACCCTTATTTTACCCTTTAAAAAGTGATTTCTTTTATAATGATTGTATTGGACTTTTAACTGCATTATAATTATTTAAACTAACTGTAGTAAGACATTTAATAAAGTTGTACAACTTAATCTTAGTGAACAAAAATCATATGTTTTATGGTTTTAATAAATTTATTAGCAAGCAATCAAGCGCGTTTTATAATGTTTCTCAGAATTGTTCTTCCCGTAAAAAAGCATGAACAAAATTATAAACTAATATTAGTGTTACATAATTGATATTAGTATATAAAGTTTAATTTAAAATCTAACTCAAGTTAGCGTTTAGAAATACAAATCTGTCCAAGCCGCACAAATGTTTTTATGCTTATAATTTGATTTTTATTTAAATACTAAGTTATAACATTTAAAGTTACGCAACACGTTTTAGAATTTTTAAACTTATTTCATTTTAGTGTGATTTTGTTGGTGTGTTATTTACATCGTAAATATTTACATTGACTGGAGATATTGTGTAAAAGTCTGCATATCGTTGTATCTATTTTAGTGACAAAAAAAAAATCAAACATTTTCGTTGTTTTAATAAACTTATTTTATTGTTACTTAGTGTTGCTCCTAATTGAATTATTTTGGTTTTTAACATTAAATTTTTGATAATTCTGTTTAATCAGCAGGATAAGGTCAAATCTTGATGAAATAGAAAAATTGAATTAGGAAATTTGTTATGTAAAAATCATTTGTGGGCATGCGAAATTCAACAATTTTCTGACATAAACTAACAGACACAAAACCAAAAAGAAAATATTAATGTTAAAAATTTAAGTTACGTTTTTCAAAAGAATAAAAAGAAAATTATTCAGTTTTTGTCACATATTAAAAGTCACATTATACTTTGTCTTCTTTCTCCACCCTTAAAAAGATCTGTATAATTTGAGTTGAAATAATGTAGTTTTGCTGTTTTTATCCTGAAAGGTATTTAGTCTATAAAATGGAATGTAACCGCTAAGTTTTTTTTATCTTGGCTGAACTTTGGATGAAGTAAAAGATTAATTTTTAACTTTCTCTTCTAGAAGTGAATTGTTTTTGTTTAATGACCGAATTAGAATGATCAAACTTTTGCCGATAGTGGAGGTAAACTACGAAACAATCGAACATTTATAAAATTAATTTTGAGTAAAAAGTGAAGATAAATTAAAAATCAGAGATAAAGCAGATATGATTGTATGAATGCAAAAATAAGTAAACAAAATATTACTGTTAACAAAAATTTTGTTTATTTATTATTATTATTTATTTTTTTTCGAATCATTAAACTGTTGTTTTTATGAGCAGGCAAATCTAAGTTTTATTATAATATACGTATTTAGTTTAAACATCCAAAAATACAGAATAATTTTTGAATACTTTTGAAACAATAATTATACAATTTTTGCTGCGAATATAATAAAATATATTTATTAATAATGAATATTTAAAGAAATTAATGGCAAATGAATCTTCTGAAACTATAGCAAGAATTTATTACCAAATAATGGAGTCCCGCAGTGTACTGATAGTAAAAACACGGTTTCCAGTCGAAAACCGACGCCAAACATCACTGGCTGCGGTCAGTAAGCGGATGGGTCACCACTTTGATCAACCTACGTAGGGACCGAGATTGCGAGGCCTCGTTTCTCGTTAAACTGTTCTACCATAAAAGGGTCGACTTTGTTCGCAGGTCGTTGGGCTACAAAGCAGGGGAGCCACCCCCTCTGCTGAGGATCAAAATTGCGATGGCATGTCTTTGGATCATCCTCAGGGATGTTTCCCAGACCGTCGCCAATTTCCCATTGTGCAGCTCTAGTGCGACGTAAATAAAGTACCTACCTACCAATTTACCTACCATCTTTTTTCTCACTCGGCTACTGTGGTCTTTCTAGTTTTGTTTCTCCTCTTTATTTTTCCATTTTTTTCGTTGACAACCTTACGTTTAATTTGTTTTTGTTCATGTTTAATTTCATGTGGTTATTTTTATAAACTATGAGTGCTCAAGAGCAAGATTTGAACCAATCACTGTAACTGTGATTAAATCAATCCGGATGAAATGTGTCATGAAAAGGCGTTAAGGTAGAAAGAGAAGAGAATTTTGATGAGAAACTATTGCGTTGAGCCAAGGTCCCTTTAAAAGAAGGAACAGAGAGAAAATTCTGTTTTCACCAACTTATGCAGACCTGCAGAATGATTTGATGTGTTAAATTTAGAACATCAGCATTGAATTCTCTTTTAAATTCATTGTAATACGCACATTTTTACACAACCATGTAGGTCTTTGAAACAATTGCAATCATTAATAACTTTTTCGAAATTATCTGTAAGTTTTAATACAGCTTTAAAACTCAAAATTTGTCAGGAAAGAAATTTTTTTTCTATTTTTTTTAACGTTTTATCGGATCTTTAAATGTAAATTCGTACAAAATGTAAATTTGAGAAATGTAAATTATCACACACATTTTTTATCATAATTTATCTGAAAAGTTTTCATGATAGCTTAACTCAAAATTTATTTCACAGGTAATTTTTTACCTAATTTTTCTTAATCTATCAAGTACCTAATGTTTATATGTATTCATACACCAGAATTTCATTAAGGCAACAGATTTAGGAATATATTTACCTATGTCTTGAGGTATTTAATCATACAATAGCGAAAGCTAAAATTAGAAGAAAAAAATCCTGAAACTTCATATACATATATGTATATATATATATATATATATGTATATGTATATATATGTATATGTATATGAAGTTTCTTCTTTATGAACTGAACCTGAACTTCCTGAAACTTCATATATATATATATATATATAACAAAATTACTCTTTNTATATATATATATAGTCCCGACAACTGAAGAAAGATCCATGACCATAATAATAAAAATTAATAGAAAGTGTGGTAAAGTCGAAGAGCTTCTAAATCCATTTTGCCATTGGAATCCATTTTGTTGGTAATTCCGATCGGTTATTTCCGATATCCATATTCTGAAATCGAAAATGATTTCTGCTCTGTTTCAGGAAAAAGTTTCCTACCTTCCTCCATATATAAAAGATATGAAACAATCCATTTTGTCGGTTATTTCCGATTTTTAAATTCTGAATTCGAAAATAAATTATGACTGTTTTATCGGTTTCAAGAAAAAATTTCCCACCTTCCTCCATCTATAAACGATATAAAATATTCCATTTTGTCGATTATTTCCGATTTTCAAATTGTGAAATCAAAAATAAATTCTGACTGCTCTATCTGTTTCAGAAAAAATTAACCTATCTTTCTCCCTCTTTAAAAGACATGAAATAGTTCACTCCACTAAGGAGCCAGCTTAAAATTGAAATAGTATTGCTGTCTACTATTTTCGAAATGTTGCCTCTCGTTTATTTATGATTGCCTTAGACTTTCAACTTTGTTGTCAATGATTCATGCATGATTAGCATGTTTTGTTTAAATCATGTGAAAGTATTTTTCTAGAAGAGGACTAACTTTTACTGTGTTAGATTGAAACGACTTTCCACACTTTTTCTACGAATTCAGAATCATGGGACTTTTCTTATCAAATTACTCCGTGTTGTTTTCTTTTAAATTGTGACTTATTGAATTTTTTCTTAAGATTGGATTTTAATGGACAATTTATAATATATTCCTTAAGGTATTTATGTATCTGAATTAGTTTTTTTTATGTAGATTTCTAATTATTTTAATATTTTAATTTTATTTTATTATTTTTTTATTATTATATTGGACGATTAAAAAATATCCTAGTTTTAATCGACATACTCATACGCTTCTTGTATCAATGGAGATTTAGCCTCCCTATTCTAGTTAATAATAATAAAATATAAACTATCATTTGTTATGCTCGGTTTTTATGTAATATTTTTATTTAATTTTTATTATAATGACTCCTTAAATGTTTTTAGAGAAAAAGATTATTCGAAAATAATGTGATAAGATAATTTTTGAATTGCTTAAAAATTTCAAATAGTTATTTTGTTAATAGTTAATAATTCTTATTTCTGGTCACTAAAGAGATAATTTAGCAATAGTAAGAAAGTTAATTCGAAATATTGTTTTTTAAATTTTAAATAGTAATTTTTTATTTATTATTTTGATAGCATTAAATAAAGTTTTTCATGAAACTTATCATAAAAATAAATTTATTTTTTTGAAAAGTAAAATTGTTTTTTAACAGTTGTAAAACTGCAACTAAATATTTTAATCATAAAATTTCGTGTAATTAGGATTACTTTATAATAAAATAAAAATTACTTCAAGTTTTAAACCATTGATTTCGAATTAAGTCATTAATTTGAATGTATTGAGAATAAATAAATAAATATAATTGACAAATAACTTTGAGGGATAAATAAATAAATCTGAGGTAAATACCGCTATAACTTTTATCACTTAATATAACATTTTTTTAAATTTTAGGATAATGATAGCTAAAATTAGAGACAGGCGAGCCAGGCCATTTCGAGACAGGCGAGTCATGTATGCGTTCTCTGGGTGGCAACAATCACGGTAAAAAAAATAATAAAATCGGCGACCAAACTATTTTTATAGAAGTTAATCTGTGGGTGGAGTAATAATAGTTTTCTTTATTTAATTCACCAAGACTTAGTTAAAATTAAAAATTATATAGTTAAATTTTTAACAAACGTAGATTGGATGTATAAGATTTAAAGTGAAAGCAAAAATAAGGTTGTCAAATTAACCATGCCCAAACTTAAGCTACCGCTTTTTATTTTTTTTCCATCCTGTTTCTGATTCCATATGAATATATTTATGACTTGCCCGTCCTGAAAAGGTTAATAATGGTAAAATCATGTGATCTTCTTATCCAATAAAAATGCATAAGAATATATTCCATAAGATTCCAGATTCCATAGGAATATATTTAAGACTCACCCGTCCTGAAAAGGTTAATAATGATAAAATCATGTGAACTTCTTATCCAATAAAAATGCATAAGAATATATTCCATAAGATTCCTGATTCCATAGGAATATATTTAAGACTCACGCGTCCCAAAAAGGTTAATAAGGATAAAAATCATGTGATCTTCTTATCCAATAAAAATGCACTGAATGGTATAATAATTATTACCTATAGAAATATAGTAATTCTTGAGATAATAAAGTAGTTTTTGATTTTTAGCTTTCTCTTTTAATAAGTTCTTTGAGAAACTCGCCTTTGCTGACATCATTAGTGTGATACTAGTCGGAATTTAATAAAATGTTTTGATGAAAATCACCATAATCTCCCACAGTTTTCCCAATGGCAAAAAGAACTTGAACTCTTTATTCGTCTACTATAGGATATCTTTTTTAATTTTTACACAGATATATGCAGGATTTTGTGCTCATTACAAAGTGACTGGTGCTTCCTACATATGTCGGGGTCACGAAATCCTCCAAGTTCTCACAAAAAATCAATACCTCTAGGGCAGTGATTACGAACTGGCGACCCACGGGCCGCATCCGTCCCTTGAAGCCTTTTTTTGTGGCCCGTGAACTAAAGTATATTAGTTGTCGTTTTTTTTGGGACAATTTTCGTAAAAAATCTATATGGATTTAAAATACTTTTCTTTCGGTTAAGAAAACATAATTTCTTCGTTTCTGTGAAATTTAACATACCAACGGTGCAAAAAATTTATTTCTCAGGTTTTGCATCCAAGAAAATATTTATTCAAATACATAAATAATCGTGTATGCAGCACTTTTTTATTTCGTTTTTCTGTATATTGTGAATATAATTTAGTATGTGCGTTTCAGAAATTTTCTCGAAGAAATTCTTCCATTCAACTTTTTGAAACCACTCGTTTTGGACGAAATTAATTACATTTGTAAATTTTATAACGCATAAAAGAGGGAATGAATATCATGTTTCATTTAAATTCCTTGAATTGAATATCACATGAGCGGAAAAGACAAAAAAATTTAATTTCAGATGCTCGATACTTTTTTTTTTTTTGCCATAATTTTTACTAAGTTGAAAATAATGTTAATTGTTAATGTACAGCAATATTTAATGTTCCTTCAAACATAAAAGAGTCCCATATAAAATTTTGATAACGTTCTGGCCCGCCATTTGACTAGTGTCTTTAATTGCGGCCCCCCGGCCACATGTAAGTTGGAAATCCCTGCTCTAGAGGTACTGGATCGGAGAATGATCGTGAACTGGTTTAAGTCAAAATCGCGATCTGCGGATGGATGAGTATTGTATTAATGTGTCCTTCCTGTAAAACGGGATGTGACGTATGTATGCTGTCTCCGGATCATCCTCAGGGTTCCATGTTTTCCAGACTATCGCCAATAGCGTATTGTACAGCTCTTGTGCGACGTTAATATATATATATA